TGCCTCTGCCTCCCAAGTGGCTGGGACTACAGGTGCCTGCCACAACACCTGGCCATTTTTTGGTTGCAGCCATCATTGTTGTTTGGCGGGCCCATGCTGGGGATTCGAACCCGCCACCTTAGGTGTATGTGGCTGGCGCCTTAGCCGCTTGAGCCACAGGCGCCGAGCCTAGTGGAGTATACTTAAAGGAAGTAGTCAGAATTATTAGCTAGATGAAAATGTAGCTATCCCTGTGATGAGTAGGGAGTGTAGGAGATAGGGCAGATAGTTCAAGGATTTTCTTTTTTTTTTTTTTTTTTAAGACAGCCTCAAGCTGTCCCCCTGGGTAGAGTGCCATTGCATCACAGCTCACAACAACCTCCTACTCAAGCGAGTCTCCTGCCTTGGCCTCCCAAGTAGCTGGGACCACAGGTGCCCACCACAACACCTGGCTATTTTTGGTTGCAGCCATCATTGTTGTTTGGTGGGTCTGGGCTGGATTCGAACCCACCACCTTAGGTGTATGTGGCTGGCACCTTAGCCACTTGAGCCACAGGCATCAAGCCAATTCAAGGATTTTCTGAAGCACCTGATAGGGACATCAATATGGAGGTTTTTTTTTTTTTAATAACAAAGGTTTTGGATTAGTCAGATGTTGTGGGAACGTCACAAACCATAAGTTTTGCAAACAAAAATTGCAATCACACATTATATATGCTAAGTGTAGAAAAATTATAAATCATCTGTTGATCTCTTCAGCCATGTTTAAACAAATTAATATTAAAGGCAACAATTTTATTACTGTGAATGTGTACACACAAATGAAGAAAAGAGTGAAGGCCAAGCATGGTGGCTAACACCTGTAATCCCAACATTTTGGGAGGCCAAGGCGGGAGGATTGCTTGAGCCCAGGAGTTTGGACCAGCCTGGGAGATATAGAAAGATCCTGCCTCTACAAAAAAAATTAGCCAGGTATGGCAGCAGGTCCATAGTCCCAACTACTCAGGATGCTGAGGTAGGAGAATCACTTGAACCTAGGAGATTGAGGTTGTGGCTATAATCATACCACTGCACACTAGTCCAAGTGAAAGAGTGAGGCTCTGTGTCAAAAAATAAAGGAAAGAAAAGAGTTAAAATTAGTTTATTTATTCATGTTATATACCTGCTATATGTTTGGCAGTAATAATTGGAGGTAATTTTAGTGTCTCTCAAATTCCTGGCCTTAGACTTCCTACCTTGGCCTTCTAAAGTGCTGGGATTATAGGCATGAGCCACTGCACCCAGTCTCAAGTCTAGCAAATGCATCTAACCCAAAAGTTAGACTGGTGCATGGCATAATATTAGGTTCTTAAGTACTGTATTTTGTCTTGTATAATGCCCACTTTATCTAAATTTTTGAGAGAAAAATAAGCATGTGTATTATACATGAGGAGTATATATAATATGCATTCTTTCAGGAGCAGGGGAGCTCAGTGGGAGCACAGAGTTCAGTCTGGGAGGATCTGAGATTCAGTGTGAGTTGGCTGGAGTGGACTCCACCAAGTGCTGCCATCTGGGGATGGGAGTGTAGTAGCAGGATGTGAGAGCTGAGACCCAAGGCCTGGCTGCGTGGAGGGGAATGGAAACCCTGCACAGGCCCCAGGATCCTACCTGGCTGCCAGCATGCCAAGTGACCTCAGAATCTCCTGTCAGGAGGATAGGGATCCAAGGAAAGTCGGAAGGGACACCCTTCCCAGAGCAAGTGGCTGTAGGAAGGTGGGGCAAATCTGTATGTTTATCAGGGGAACGTTAACCCTCCCCATAAGTGTCTGGCGTTTTCCTGAAGATTTAGGCTAAAAATATGAGTGTGTGTTACACAGGAGCATATTATACATGGCAAAATACGGATAAATGTGTTAAAAGGATAGCAAAGTGTTGGCAGCTCTTCACTCTATTTTTTAATGGTTCTATGTCTTACTCTTCCTCTTTAGGGCCAAAACACTCATTGACCCAGATATCTCAATCCATGCTGGATCTCTGTGATGAAAAACTTAAAGAGGTAAGACACTTAGAATGAAAGAAAGGCAGTGGAATTTGAAAATGAGGAGTAGCAGGGTTTAGAAAGTAGAGCATTTAATAGAAGGAAAAGTATATGTGTAAGAGTATCAGATCTTTAGTGTGTAAAGACTAGAAGGAACATTAAAACTCTCATAGGCCAATCCCTTTGAACTAAGAAACTAAATCCATTGAAGAAAACAGTTGCTCTGCGTATCATGACTATTAAATAGTAAAGTTAGGATTAAGATCCAGAATCTGCATAAGTCTTTAGAAAGGGCAAAGGAAAGTGACTCCTCAGGAAGTCATCTGTAGCTAAGAGACCAGTCACTGGTTTGGTAGGGAGGAATTTTATTTTTTTTTTAAGTTTTTTGTTTTTTTTTTCTTTGAGACAAGAGTCTCACTTTGTCACCCTCAGTAGAGTGTCACGGTGTCATAGCTCATAGTAATCTCAAAGTAGTGGACTCAAGCAGTCCTCTTGCTTCAGCCTCCAAAGTATCTGGAAGGGACTACAGGCACCTGCCACAATGTCCAGCTATTTTTTAGAGATAGGATTTCACTCTTGCTCAGGCTGGTCTCAAACTCCTAAGCTCAAGCAGTCCACCTACCTTAGCATCCCAGGGTGCTAGGAATATAGGTGTGAGCCACCGTGACTAGCCCAGAATTTTAATTTCTAAATGATTATCTGTAGTCCATCTTCTTACCAAAAAAACTTGTAGCATCCTATAATCTTACAAAAGTACAATTATATTGGTGATGTTAATATTGAAGTAGACAGTTCTTTTTTTGTTGTTGTTGCCCTGGGTAGAGTGCTGTGGCATCACACCTCACAGCAACCTCCAACTCTTGGGCTTAAGAGATTCTCTTGCCTCAGCCTCCCAAGTAGCTGGGACTATAGGCACCTGCCACAATGCCCAGCTATCTTTGGTTGCAGTTGTCACTGTTGTTTGTCAGACTCGAACAGGATTCAAACCCGCCAGCTCTGGTGTATGTGCCTGGCGCCCTAGCCGCTTGAGCTACAGGTGCCGAGCCTAAAGTAGACATCTTACAAAAGAGATAACTAAATGGCCAATAAGCATGAAAAGATTCCCAACTTGAATGAACATTAGGGAGATGCATATTTAAATCACTATTAGAGGCCCGGTGCCTGTAGCACAGAGGTTTGAACCCAGCCTAGGCCAGCTAAACAACAATGACAACTGCAATAAAAAATAGCTGGGCATTGTGGCTATAATCTCAGCTACTTGAGCGGCTGAGGAAAGAGAATTGCTTAAGCCCGAGAGTGTGAGGTTGCTGTGAGCTGTGACGCCATGGCCCTCTACCAAGGTGACATAGTGAGATTCTATCTCAACAACAAAATAAATAAATAAATAAATAAAGCACTATTAGCTACCACTACGTACCCGACAGAAAGGCTAATATTAAAAAGACTGATAGTACATGGGCAGCACCTGTGGCTCAGTGGGTAGGGTGTTGGCCCCATATACTGAGGGTGGCCGGTTCAAACCCAGCCCTGACCAAACTGCAACAAAAAAATAGCTGGGTGTTGTGG